ACACGAGGGGTTCTAGGGCCCTGCTCTTTCGAGCTTACAATCTAATATAATAAATAATCATAAAAAATAATAATATAATAATAATACATTTAATTCAATAATATAATCAAACAAAAAACACTGAAATTTGAAATCAAGCGCCAAGTTCGCACATCACTGAGTCACAAAATTGTTTTCAGCGTCTGATGACGAATTTCCCCACAAATCATTATCTCTCAATTCTGCAAGTGGTTCTGATTTACTATCGCTGTTCTCTAGCTGGTCTAAAACCGCTTTTGACCTTAAGGGACGCTTTTTGGACGCCATGGACGTTTCTCAGTTTCAAGGCAGAAAGAACAGTAAAAATGCAGGCAGGGCACAGGACAAAGCACTCGGGCCAAAATATATGTGAAATGCTTTGATACAGTAATGTTTTACTATGTGATTTTAGTGTATTTCGTGAATGTCACTTTTTAAAATTTTAAATTTCCCGCCGATTCCTGCCCCCATACGTCCCAACGCTCGCAGGGGACGGAACCCAGAAGACGGATGCCGGCATCGGCCGGAAGAGATGGCCGGGGACGCTGCAGGGGGGACATCGCGGGAGCGAAGGACAAGGTAAGTGAAACAGGGAATCCCAGAGCAACGCTGCAGAGTAATCCCGAGTGTAGCTCGGGGTTACAGCTTCTGGTACTGATAATTAACCCCGAGGTACACTCAGGAATGCTGCCAGGGAAGTTAATGAATGATAAAGAAAATAGGATTTTTATACTTACTTTAAAAATCTTTTACTTGACATCCATTTAGGGACGCATATATTCAGCACCTCTGCTTTATTGGCCGTATGTACTCACAAAATTAAGCCATGGCGGTTGGAGGTGGGGCTATAGAGGGAGCTGACTTAAAATATTTTGCTTGCAAGTGTTCCAACCTCCTTTCAACAGAAGTATAACCAATACATCTAAGATTATCTACAATTCCTGTGTCCCTCTATGGACCTCAAGAAAAGATTTTATGATAAGTACAAAATCTTATTTTTGCTCTAGCTATTATTATTCTTTCATTCTTTCCTGACTGTCTGTCTTCATACCATCTACTCTGATATTAATCAATTAAACTACACGAGAGACAAGAGACAAAGGCCTATGCTAGGCTCTTTTTTCAGTGAGGATTTCATAAAAATAATGTGATAATTAAAATGATAGAAAAGAGCTCATAATGGAAAATGATAAATAATAGCATTCATTCATTATAAATTGAGAAAAGGATATTTCTAAATGTACGTCCAGTACATAAAACCTCAGATATAAAAACAGCTCTTTCTTTTTCACATGTGGCCTAAGGAGTCAAGACCATGCTCCCCTTATCAATGATGGACTTAAATATTAGGCTGTTAATAGAACAAGTTCTGCAGTAATTTGTAAAATTTAATTGTGCTGAGTTATAATGGGTATGCAGAGTTGTTACATTTCAATAATCATTAATTATTACAATATATACCAATATGTATCTGGGGAGAAAATTGTTTTGAATTATAGAAAGCATTTAAAGATTATATTTAACTTTGTTGTTGAGACACTTCTTTATGCATCCACCTGTGCCTTTCAGGTATAATTCATCATGAAATGTTGCCTGCTAACTGCTGTAGTGACAACATTTCCTGTTATGGAGACCAGTAATCAGGTCCAGCTAGCTGTGCATTGTGTGACCAGCCTCTTAAGATATCCCACTCAACGACATAATTCAGACGTCAGCAAGAGATTTCTGTGGATAAAAGCTAGAAAAGTAAAATAAAGGTGGTGGCCCACATGGAAGAAAAACATATTTGAAATATATGTTAAAAATATTCTTTCCAAATATATTGACATATATTTGAAATGCTACAATTTTGGCCATATGCAATGTATTTCAAAATATATTTAAATAAATACAAATAAATAAATATATATATATATATATATATATATATATATATATATATACAGTCATGGCCGAAATTGTTGGCACCCTTGATATTTCTCCAGGAAATCATGTATTTCTCACGAAACGTATTGCATTAACACATGTTTTGCTATACACATGTTTATTCCCTTTGTGTGTATTGGGACAAAACAAAAAAAGGGAGGAAAGAAAGCAAATTCGACATAATGTCACACAAACCTCCAAAAATGGGCTGGACAAAAGTATTGGCACCCTTTCACAACTGCGGATAAATAAGAATGTTACAAGCATGTGATGCTCCTGTAAACTCACCTGGGGCAAGTAACAGGTGTGGGCAATATAGAAATCACACCTGAAAGCAGATAAAAAGGAGAGACGTTCACTTAACCTTTGCATTGTGTGTCTGTCTGTGCCACACTAAGCATGGACAACAGAAAGAGGAGACGAGAACTGTCTGAGGACCTGAGAACCAAAATTGTGGCAAAATATCAACAATCTCAAGGTTACAAGTCCATCTCCAGAGAACTAGATTTGCCTTTGTCCACAGTGCGCAACATTATCAAGAAGTTTGCAACCCATGGCACTGTAGCTAATCTCCCTGGTCGTGGACGGATGAGGAAAATTGATGAAAGATTGCAACGCAGAATAGTCCGGATGGTGGATAAGCAGCCCCAAACATGTTCCAAAGACATTCAAGCTGTCCTGCAGGCTCAGGGAGCATCAGTGTCAGCGCGAACTATCCGTCGAAATTTAAATGAAATGAAACGCTATGGCAGGCACCCAGGAGGACCCCACTGCTGACACAGAGACATAAAAAAGCAAGACTACAGTTTGCCAAAATGTACTTGAGTAAGCCAAAAGCCTTCTGGGAAAACGTCTTGTGGACAGATGAGACCAAGATAGAGCTTTTCGGTAAAGCACATCATTCTACTGTTTACCGAAAACGGAATGAGGCCTACAAAGAACAAAACACAGTACCTACGGTAAAATATGGTGGAGGTTCAATGATGTTTTGGGGTTGTTTTGCTGCCTCTGGCACTGGGTGCCTTGACTGTGTGCAAGGCATCATGAAATCTGAGGATTACCAAAGGATTTTGGGTCGCACTGTAGGGCCCAGTGTCAGAAAGCTGGGTTTGCGTCCAAGATCCTGGGTCTTCCAGCAGGACAATGACCCCAAACATACGTCAAAAAGCACTCAGAAATGGATGGCAAAGAAGCGCTGGAGAGTTCTGAAGTGGCCAGCAATGAGCCCAGATCTAAATCCCATTGAACACACTGTGGAGAGATCTTAAAATTGCTGTTGGGAAAAGGTGTCCTTCCAATAAGAGAGACCTGGAGCTGTTTGCAAAGGAAGAGTGGTCCAAAATTCCGGGTGAGAGGTGTCAGAAGCTTATTGATGGTTATAGGAAGCGACTGATTTCAGTTATGTTTTCCAAAGGGTGTGCAACCAAATATTAAGTTAAGGGTGCCAATACTTTTGTCCAGCCCATTTTTGGGGTTTTGTGTGACATTATGTCATATTTGCTTTTCTGCCTCTGTTTTATATTTGTTCCAATACATACAAAGGGAATAAACATGTGTATAGCAAAACATGTGTTAATGCAATACCTTTTTTGTGTGAAATACTTGATTTTCAGGAAAAATATCAAGGGTGCCAACAATTTCGGCCATGACTGTATATGTATATATATACTGTAGTTGAAATGTGTTTTTATTAAAAAATATATGTAAAATATTTTTAAAAATACATTTCAAATATACTGTATGTCTTTAAAAATACAGATCTACATTTTTGGATTGCATTTACAAATATATGTAAAAATATATGTTAAAATGACTTTTATTTGTTTAAAAAAAACCTGAAGAATATATTTCAAAAAATATATATTTTTAAAAACATATTGTTTTAAAATATATTCTTCAGATTTTTTTTAACATATAAAAAAGTCATTTTAACATATATTTTTACATGTATTTGTAAATGAATTCCAAAAATGTAGATTTGTTTTTTTAAAGACATACAGTATATTTGAAATGTATTTTTAAAAATATTTTCAATATAATTTGTAATAAAAACACATTTCAACATGCAGTATATATATATATATATATATATATATATATATATATATATATATTGAATATGACCAAAATTGTAGTATTTCAAATATATGTCAATATATTTGGGAAGAATATTTTTAAAATATATTTCAAATATATTTTTCTTCCATATGGGGGGGACATGGCATTTGAAAAAAGTTAGACTTGCCTGGCAATGGTAAATAATATTATCAAAACATTTTAAGCACATTGTTTTATTCTTGGTGTGTCTGTGTATAGATCAAAAACTGACAAGGGTTGACAACTTAGTTTTCAGCAGAGAGGAGGGAAGGGCTAGATTTAAATATACATTTACAGTGATGTGTTTTGGGACTTTAACCACTTGCCCTCCAGAGGATTTACCCCCTTTCCTGACCAGGCCATTTTTTGCGATACGATGCTGCATTACTTTGACTGACAATTGCACGGTCATGCAATACAGTACATAAATTCAATTTATGTCCTTTTTTTCCCCACAAATAGAGATTTCTTTTGGTGGTATTTTATTGTCTCTGCAGTTTTTATTTTTTGCACTATAAACAAAAAAAGACCGACAATTTTGAAAAAAAAAATATTTTTTTACTTTTTGCTATGAAACATGACCAAATGAAAAATCAAATTTCATCATAAACTTAGTCCAAATATATTCTGCTACATGTCTTTGCAAAAAAAAAACCCAGTACATGTAAATAATTGGTTTACATGAAAGTCATAGCATTTACAAATATATACCGTATTTTTCGCTCCATAAGACGCACCTGACCATAAGACGCACCTAGGTTTTAGAGGCGAAAAACAAGAAAAAAAAATATTCTGAACCAATGGACTGCAGACACAGTACAGGGGATGACCAGAAACTGGGGACACAGTACAGGAGATGACCAGAGACTGCGGACATACTACAGGAGATGACTAGAGACTGCGACCATACTACAGGAGATGACCAGAGACTGCAGACACACTGCAGGAGATGACTAGAGACTGCAGACAGTACAGGGGATGACCAGAGACTGCGGACACAGTACAGGAGATGACCAGAGACTGCTGACACAGTGCAGGAGATGACCAGAGACTGCTGACACAGTACAGGAGATGACCAGAGACTGCGGACACAGTACAGGAGATGACCAGAGACTGCAGACAGTGCAGGGAATGACCAGAGACTGCAGAAAGTGCAGGGAATGACCAGAGACTGTGGACACAGTACACGAGATGACCAGAGACTGTGGACAGTACAGGAGATGACCAGAGACTGCGGACACAGTACAGGAGATGACCAGAGACTGCAGACAGTGCAGGGAATGACCAGAGACTGTAGACAGTGCAGAGAATGACCAGAGACTGCAGACAGTGCAGGGAATGACCAGAGACTGCAGACAGTGCAGGGAATGACCAGAGACTGCAGACAGTGCAGGGGATGACCAGAGACTGCAGACAGTGCAGGGGATGACCAGAGACTGCTGACCTTTGGGGAGGGAGGGGGAACGGGTACCTGAATTTGACAGGTACCCACTCCCACTTCCACGGAGTTGTCCTTCTCTCTTCTTCCCGGGCCGGCTTCTGTGACAGCCGGGTGCCCACTGCGCATGTGCGAGTAGCAATGCGCTTTGTGAATGGCCCGGCGCCTTCTGTGTCCCAGAAGACACCGGATCATTCACAAAGCGCAGCACATGCGCAGTGGGCACCCGGCTGTCACAGAAGCCAGCGCGGGAAGACTGTGCAGCGCTGGAGCGAGGAACAGGTAAGGCCCTGCAGGAGAGAACAGCTGAGCGGCCGACCCAGTATTCTGACATGGTGGCGGCAGAAATACCGGACCGGCCGCTTTATATTCGCTCCATAAGACGCACTGACATTTTCCCCCCTTTTTTTGGGGGAAAAAAGTGCGTCTTATGGAGCAAAAAATACGGTATATATATATATATATATATATATATATATATATACATATATGCTGGAATTTTTTTTCTACTAGTAATGGCAGCAATCTAGAACAGGGCAGGACTGTGGCGGGCATTCTGAGACTGGGGGGAACTGACTTGGTGTCACTGACATCCCCAGTGACACCAATACAGTGATCAGTGCTAATAAATAGCTCTGACACTGTACTAATGACACTGGGCAGGAAGGGGTTAACATGTGGTAGGATTAAAGGGTTAACTGTGTGCTGTGTGCTGTTTTTACTATGTGCTGTGTGTGTGCTTTACACTGTAAGCACACTGCTTTGTATGGCTCTGCTATGAAGAGCCATGCAAAGCAGTTTGCAGGAGTTAACAGGGGAAGGATCTGTATTGTTTACATACAGGTCTCTCCCCCATCAGAAATCCTCAGAGATCGACAAGGAATCACCGGCCTGGACCTGGTGATTGACAGCCAAGGCTGCAAATGGCAGCACGGGTAGGGAGCACAGCGCGCACGCACCCCCTGCCTGGAACTGCAAAATCACGTATTTATATATATATATATATATATATATATGTGTGATTTTGGAAACCTGTGCTGCCCTGTAGCAGCATTTCTGCTATAGTGCGGCGCAGAAGTGGTTGAAAGTTGGGAAAAGATTTTGGCAAGTAAAGTTGCCTTGAATTAGTAGATCACTATTAGATTGTCCCATAGATTTTTGGGTAAACATAACACAATTAATACTATTGAAAACATTTTTTTTATAATCAAATCCAGGGGCGGACTGACAACTCATGGGGCCCCCGGGCAATAGGGGATCATTGGGCCCCTGTGTCCTTGCCCAAACTCAAAAAAGCCTATGAAAAAGGTACCAGGGGCATCTCATGGGGCCCCCTACTGACCCCGGGCCCTCGGGCAGTGCCCGAGTTTCCAAATGGTCAATCCGCCCCTGATCTAATCACTATTATATATTCTTTGGGAGTAGAGATTCTATTATTCTATGCAAAAATAACTTTTATGGCATTGCTAAAGCAACTAATTACTAACTGCTTGTGGGTCATAGACCCATACATCAAAAAATCAAATAGACTCTGCATCCAGTAAGAGGATATTTATCACATGACATTACATCACATCATTTGGCATACATCTAACATAGATAAAATAGTTAACTAACATTTTGATTTTAACATAAATTATAATTAAACACAGAAGAAACCTGTGCTTTGGATAATATCATTTAACTACTACCAAAGCACACTGCTTAATAAATGCTGTTTTAAACACAAAAAGAGTTAATTGTTCTTTTCATTCTTTCCTCTAAGTAAACTGTCTAATTAGCAGGTCATGGTGTATGGCACAAAATTATTATTTATGTTCTTGCTAGAATAAAAACATCTATTTTTTTCACAATCTCAAGAACACATGGAATAAAAAATACATGTCAGTTTTCTTGTGCTCCTGCTGGTGTTTGTTTCAGGAGATTGATATTTTTAGACTAGTAACTCATTCGCATCTTCAGGATATGACTTAGATGTGTACACTTTTGAGTACTTTCAAAATAGACATGATTAGATAATGAATTCATGTGTCTTGAGAGAACAGAAGAAAGCCTCCACAGCTCCACAGCAAATTAACATGCCATATGTTGATGAAACAAGACTGAAAGAGAAGATACAACTCAAAAGGTGTGTGTGTGTGTGTGTGTGTATGTGTGTGTGGATATATATATATATATATATATATATATATATATATATATATATATATATATATTTATATTTCATTACACTACCACTAAATTGTTTAAAATGACCTATCCTATCTACTTGGCAAGACTTGTGGGAGCTCCTCATTCTATTCATATTTTGTTTTACATTACGAGTTGTACAGGATTGCCAGGAACTTGACAGGTTTGCCAGTAGCTTGACCTATAGATTTTTTGTTAGTCTTAATAAAATTAATGCTCCATACTGTGTCTACTGTGTGTCAATACCTCATCGACATCTAGAACATATACAGTGTACAACATGTGACCAGACTAAGTAGAACTAAACTTTTTGAATGCAATCCATGCAACATATTAGGAAAACATATGCATGCTTGTTTTTTTCTTTTTTTTACAGCAGTTGTAAAAATGCTTTGGTGGTGCTGCAGGAGGACTGAGTAATGAACTTAAGAAATTATTGTATTTGGTCAAAGACATCACGCAGGAAACCTCGCCCCTTTTTTTACATTATGCTGTAGGAATTGGGAGCTGCATTTTGTGGTGAAATTATACTGGAAGTGGAGTGTGTCAGTGTTTGTCAGGCATTGTTCATTGTGATTTACTTGGATCTGCATCACAGGATGATGTGAATAATATTTTTTTTGTAATTAAAGAACTTGTCAAAATGTCTCTTTATTTACTATTTTAATCTTTTATTTTTGTGAACGAGTAGAAGTGCTATGTACCCTTTCATCATTCATGTAGAGGGGGGCAGTATCTGTGGGAGCCCTTATTTTTAAACTGGGATTTCATATTCCAATAGTCCCTTTCACTTGCCGACCCCGCAATCACTGGTCCAGGGTTGTATGAAAGAAGCCATTATACTCATCAACATATTGAGGGAATTGGCCTAGTATGGTTTGGAAATGGACCACATGTTCATGTTTCTTTCTTGTTTTTTGCATAGGGTTCCCCCTTAAAATCCAAAACATTTTTTTTTGTGGGGTGCTCTTAAAATCTATCAGGACCTGAAGACTCTTGTATGAATTTTTGGAGGATCCTACAAATTTTTTTAACAATCTATGTTCCTTTGTTTTCATTCACTTGTTAGCCAGTAATCCTCGGCTGACAGCTGAATGGGCGGGGCAGGGATTTATCACTGGTTGTTTGCATGCAGGCTCCATAACAACCAGGATCCCTGAGAGGGAAACTGATTTATTTAGCAGCAATAGTAATATTTCCACAAAATGATTCACTTTCTATTGCATGTGGAAGTTCAACTCAGCTGAAAACTTTAGTTGAGCGATTTGCCAAACCTCTGAACAGTGGAAATTTGGTACAAACCAGGGTCCTGAATGAACCCTCAGCTCATCCCTAGTCAGAAGCATGGATATATTGCAATACCTTCCAAATTAGGCACAATACTGTAAAATAAAAGATAATTTGGAATATGTATGATGATGGCAAAAAATTTCAATGAAGGTAAATAAAACTTTTACATTTTTTTATACAAAAAAGAGCTAAAATATGTCCATTTGTAACACCCTGCTATAAAGATCTATGCAGGATGTTGAAGCCAACACAAGATGTCCTGCAGAACAGTAGCATTCTTGGGTTGAAGAACAGCCATATGGAACTTAGATGCTGAATTGCAGGACTTACTAAGGAGCAGTGCATCTGGAAACTACATTTCCCAGAGGAGCTTGCATGTGGGCGGGGGCATATATATCTCAAAGCCCGGGAGAGTGAGCGGGAAGTGAGAGGGGAGAGATCTCGAGAGGAGGAAGTGTGCTGACTGCTGGAGTATTGGACCAGGCTGCAGAGCCAGAGTCAGAGAGGGAGGAAGAGCGGGAATAGTCTGCTGATCGAGCCAATCTGTAAGCAGGAGACCAGACAGGATGCCGAATCAGGACTGGAGCATCTGTGGAGGCCCCCATCTGAAGAGAAAGATAGACCACTAAGACCTTGCGAATACCATTGATCGGGTGAGAGAGTCCCAAACACCCATTGGCTAAGTGAACACTGACAATTTCATCACACCTGCTATTTATCTGTGCATAGTTGCAGACATCACATATAGTTACCTTAGTTGCTGCCTAGTTCTCCCAGCTGCCATTGTTGGAACAAGTTTGCATTATAGTCTCATCATCCAAGCTGACCACAGGACACACAGCTGGAGGCCAGAATACAGTAGTGCCAACTGAAACAACAATTTATCCTTCCCAGCTGAATGTATTTTCTACCACTGTTGCCTTTGGACCTTGCCACCCAGAGATAGAGTTGTTCTTGCTCAAATACACATGCCAACTACTACACTTCATTGCTTCAAATCTGTCCTTGTTTAGTGCCTTAAAGGAGACATTACATCAGTTCACTATCATTAAGAGAAGAAGTACTTATTAACTATCATCTACATCTTAGATCATCTTCACACCAATTGGGCCCCAACTAGCACACAGAAAACTCCATATTGTTCTTAAATGAACATTGGTTGAATATAGACAAGAGCTCTCTCCATTTTGGGCAGCACAGTGGCTTAATGGTTATCACTTCTGCTTGGCAGTACTAGGGTCTTTGGTTCGTATCCCAGCCATGGCACCACCTGTCTGGAGTTTGCATGTTCTCCCTGTGTCTGTGTGGGTTTCCTCCAGGTACTCTGGTTTCCTTCCACACTCCAAAGAAATGCTGGTAGGTTAATTGGATCCTGTCTAAATTGGCCCTAGTATGTGTATGTATGAATGTAAGTTAGAGACCTTAGATTGTACACCACTTGGGGGTCAGGGACTGATGTGAATGTACAATATATATGTAAATTGACAGCACTATATAAGTACCTGAAGTAAATAAAATATTAAATA